AATAGCTTTCAGAAATGAAGGTGAAATAAACACTTTTCAGACAAAAGCTGAGAGAATTCATTGCTCTCAGACCTGTGCTACAAGAAACATTAAAGGAAGTTATTCAGGCAGAAGGAGTATGATACCAGATAGAAATTTGGATCTACATAAAAAATGAAGACCACCAGGATATAGATAAAAATAAAAGATATTTTTTGTGATTTTTAATCTCTTTAGAAGATAACTGACAGACTAAAGCAGGGGTCAGCAAGCTCCAGCATGAGGGCAAGTACAGTTTTATTGGAACATAAACACATCCATTCATTTCTGTGTGCTGTCTATGCTGCTTTCATGTGACAACAGCAGAAGTGAGTAGTTGCAAGAGAAACCATGTGGTCTGCAAAGCCAAAAATATTTACTATCTAGCCTTTTACAGAAATAGTTTGCTGACCTCTGGTCTAAAGCAATAAAGTAAAAACAAAGAGCAACAAAAAAACACCCAATATATTAGAGGGTTTATAACACATGTAAAAGTAAAATGTTTGAAAACTGAACAAAAGATAGGGAATAAGAAATGGAAATATACTATTGTAAGGTTTTTCATTATACATGAGGTGGTACAATGAAGGCAATCTGTGATAAATTAGGCACATATATCATAAATCCTACAGCAAACACTAAGAACATTTTTAAAAGAGGTATAACTAACAAGCCAATAGCGAGGTATAATGAGTAAGCTATAATGGAATACTAAAAAATACTCAAAATTTGAAGGTAATAAAGTGCCCATCATTCAGTAGAATGGATAAATGGTGGTATTCACACAATAGAATACTAAACAATAATGAGATTGAATAGCCTACAACCATGGGCAACAATATGGAAGAATCTCACAAATGAAATTTTGAGCAAAAGTAAGAGAGTATATACTGTATGCGTCTATTTATATAAAGCACAAAAGCAGACAAAATTAATAATGTATAATGTTAGAAGTGGTTAGCCTTGGTGGTGGGGTTGGGGGTGGGTGGCTAGTGGCTGGAGAGAACTTCTGGAGGGCTTCTGGCAGGCTAGTATTTTCCTGATTTGGCTGCTGGTTATACATGTGTTTGCTTTGTGAAAATTCATCAGGCTATACATTGATGATACGTGTAATTTCCTGTATAGATATTAAATATCAGTAAAAGTTATATCTATAAACATGTATATATTCTATGTACAAACTAAAATCTGATTAAAGAATAAGACAACACACAAAAAAAGTGGGATTTCGAAAAAAGAGTTGATGTTCTAGAAATTTTGTAAAAACACAATAATCAATGAAATAAATATATAGGTAGTGAAACAGTAAATTAAAATAGCAGAAGGAATTCATTATCTGGAAAAGAGATTCAAAGAAAATTTCCCCAGATGCAGCACAGAGGGACAAAGAGATGGAAAATATGAAAGAGTAATTAGACACATAGAATAAAATGAGAAGGTAAGACATAACTCTAATAGGACTACTAGATGAAAGATAGGCAATATTCAACGAGATAAATGGTAAGAATTTTCTGGAACTGATGAACAACATGAAAATTCGGGTTCATAAAGAATGAATTTCTGAACATAATAAATACAAATTACCTACACTTAGAAGCCTGCTATTTTAATGCTGGAAAAGTTCTTAGAGACAGACTAGGCCATTCCTTTTGTTTTAAAAATAAGAAAACTCAGGCCCAAAATATTAAGTGATTTGCCTAGATAAAAAAATTAATAATAGATTACTAGAGACAACCTTAACATGCTATATTTTAAGGGTTATGGATAAGAGCAAAATATTAATTTCCGACTTCAACTTTCCTACTGATATCACCGTTTATAACAGCAATCTGAAATATTCCTGTTCATAGAGAGAATTTAACTCAAGTCGAAAATAGGAAGCATTACTGATTGAAGAGCGATGTACTAAGTGTTTAACAAATGATATTTAATGAATGACTAGGCCAAACTAGAACTGCCCACACATACCTTAAAGAAATAGTTTCAAGATAAGCCTTCTGTTTAGATTTAACTACAAGGCTATTATACTCATTTCAATCCATAAAGTTTTTATCTATTATGTTCCTCCATTTAAATGTTTCAACATTTTAGAGTGCTTTTGAATTACATTTTTTCTATTATATACACCATGAAATAAGATAAATTACTTTCTTCCTTTGAAACAGAACAATTCACCATCTAATTGAACCTCTAAATGCCCATTGTAAATCTGACACAAATTTCAAACTGGTCCAAGAGGTATAAAATGTACTGAAGACCTGATATAAAGCACTCTTTTCTCCTACAATGAATTATTTCTGATAATGGATCAGTAGCTTATAATAACTCAAGTATTTAAGAAGAAAAGATCTACTCAGTATAGGAAAATGTGAGTTTAGCCCTTATTCAAATTTTATAAATTTGAATTAGCAGAGGGCAAATTTGTATTATTTTAACGCTCATGGATTTTAAAATCATAAATAAAATAATTCGATGACCACTTTTGCTGACTTTGAAGTTAATATTTTTCAGAAATATAAAAAGTTAAAGTGTCAAAATGAAGTAATTTGGCATGTTCCAGGTTGAAACATTTTCAGGAATTTCTAATACATGTTTTTCTTACAAGTAAAACAACTCTATTATGTTACGAAGCTTTAGGCCTAGAAATACATAAGGCACAGACATTTTTAAGATATTTTGATTAAAATAAAAAAAACAGTTGGCACTTAAATACTAGACTCTCAGGAAAAAACTACTCTGTTTTATGGATGAGTCGAACTTTTCAGAGCATCTTGATCAGTTTCAGCTGCTTATGAGAGTTAAGAATAATATTGTAAAGTTAAAAAAAAATTATTCAGACTCATAAATCTGACAACTATAAAAGGGGAAGAATTATTAAAATTAGTTAGCAAATTTAGTTAGGAAAAATCAAAAATTAAATTAAAATTAAAAAGGCCATAAAAATACTTCTACCAAGTATTTACTGCATACATAACTCATACAAATGTATAAACCATTAAGACATTTATTTATATAAATGAACAAAGTATATGGAAAAGTCACACAAAAGCAAATTAGAGCAATTTTGAACTCATATACTTAACTAAATTAGCAACAACAACATATAAAACCCCCACCCAAAGCTGTAAACTTCTAGTGACTGATATACTCAAATGGTGACACTTTAAAATGTTACAACTCTTTGGGAAAGCAGTAAGGCAAACATATTAAGAACCATAAAATTGTTCATATTATTTCACTTAATAATCCCACTCCTAGGAATTTATCCTAATAAAACTGAAAATAAGTATTCATCAATAGAGAAATTGTTTAAATAAACTGAATATGAAGTGATAAGATTAAAATGATTATCAAAACTAAATACAAACAAGCCAGATAATATGAAATTTTAAAAAGTCAATTAAAAACTATAGGTGTCTTAAGACTGCAATTATGTGAACAAAGAAGGGAAAATAGTAATAGAAAATTAAAGTTTTGAAGTCCCTGCATCAGGATAGTGAGGATTATGGGAAGTTTTTCCACTTGGCAAAATTTTCTTCAATGTTTTCAATATAAAAGAGAAAGATTTGTTACCATTTTAAAGTCACTTGTCTTTCCAAATAATCTTTACTCTTCTCCATTAGTAAACTATACATGTCAACTTTTAAGTTGAGAAAGAGAGCAGAAATGCCCCAGTTGTTTTCTAAAGTGTAAACATTACTCTATTTGGACCTTACCTGGCAGTGAACAAAGACATACCGTACCCTGTGCCATTACAACAGACAGAGGCAGCCACTGCCACCCCTGGTTGACACAAACTGCAGGGCACTAGATATGAATATATAAAATGTAAACTTTCAATTTACAACTTTGTGTGTTTGGTTTTTATTTAGTGCATCATGGTATCAAGCTCTTTTCCTTATAATTTTCTGTGTCATACTAAGAAATAGTTTTAATATTTTCATTTAAAACATGTTGCCAACATGCTGAAGATGCTCTACTGGAAGTATATAGCTTTTTATATTGAGTTTATATTAGGTTAACCACAAATAAGACCACTTTAGTTTCCACATTTAAAATTTTTGGGGGGCCGACCCTGTGGCTTAGTGGTTAAGTTTGTGGCCTTGGCTTCAGCAGCCCACGGTTTCGCTGGTTCGGATCCTGGGCGCAGACACAGCACCACTCATCAGGCCATGCTGAAGCGGCGTCCCACATGCCACAACTAGAAGGACCCAAAACTAAAAGACACAACTATGTACTGGGGGGATTTGGGGAGAAAAAGCAAAAAATAAATAAATAAAACAGTTGAGATTACAAGCAGAAAACCATCTTTAAAAAAAAGGCAACCAATAAAAATCTAAAAACTCCTATTTTATGAAATTTTTAATGATTCTTCCTCTGACACTATATTTATTTGAATAAATGAAGAAGGACTTGAACATTTCTACAGACTGGTTGCATAATAGATCGCTTTCCCATAACAAACATATGAAGCACTTACTACATATGAAATTAACTATTTTGTAATGTGACTATGTTTTCAAAATTACAGTAAAGAGGGATAGGGAACTTTCAGCAGGCTATTTGAATGAAAACGTTTGAGAATAACTGTATTTAAATATTTAGAGCAGAAGAGATTAACTGGAAATGCAGGGCATCTATCTCAACGTCTATAAATACCACTTGCAAGAGCAAACTAAAAAAACAATGTCATGGGGATTAATGCCCTATAAAGAGGCATAAATAAATACTAAAGAATATAGAAAAGAAATTTTTAAGTGAAGACACATTCTTTAGTTTGATTTTTAGAAATCAGGATATTTAGTAACTTGGTACAGAGTGGTCAATCGTGTTGATGAAATTACAAGGGGAAAGATCTCACAGCGGCCAAAATATGAGCCATAGGAGCTGTCCTCTGCACTAACGGTAGAAGAGAGGGAATTTAATTAACATAGAGTCTTCTATTTACATCCTGTTAGTGGTAGCAGCAATAATTTGGTTCATTTCCCCACATTTACTATAAAACTTTATTAGTTTCCAAGATCTAAACAAATACAACTATTACCAAGTAAGTGCAGTCTTATCAAAGAAATGTTCTAATAATCATAAATTCTCCAAAATGTAAGAGTTAAATAATGGTCTTTTCAAACATAGTTAAAAAATTTAGTACAACAAAGCCACCAAGAAGCTAAAATGAAATCAAAGAAACACTAATTTACATTCACTTTTGTGACATCAAAGAAACATGTACATCATTTTTTTTTCTTTGATTAGAAAACGTGGTCAACTTTTTCACAGGAAAAGACTTTGAAGCGAGATTAAAATCAGAAAGTTGATTTTCCTGAATCCAATCTAACACAATGACATCCTAAAAGAATATCCCACAGTACAAGAAAGAACTGAATAACTGCAAGGCTATTTATAATGCGTAGCAGATAAATCGTACACTATAGAAACTGTAAATGAAGGACATTTTTCTTCATGCACAAAAAAAGGGAATAGTTCATCTTTTGCATATAGCTTGTCATTCCGCACACAGGATTCAAATGTCAACCAGGAGACGATGACAATCCCCAGCCAATCTTAAAATGTCTTAATTACATCATCTTCTCCCTTTGTCTCATTTAGAGTTATAAATTCACAGCTCAAAACTTGTTCGCTAGACTCCTCAGGTTTTGATTTTTTAAGTGCCAGCTCTGCTGGGAGAAGAGATGAGCAATGCTCAAGAGACTGTGCGATGTCATCAATTGTCCATTTGTCTTCAGGAAGGGCATGCTCTTCTAGCGTAAACGGCCCCTGTTTGGTCCGGGTCAGCTCTAATACATTGGCACAGGAAGAGAGTTCTACAGCAACAAAAGGTGAAAAGAAGATCCACAAGATAAATGATTCAGTATTTCACAGTCTGCAGTTTTCCAAATGACAGAACTCAATTCAAACCTCTCAAAAACACCCCTACGTAAAATTGTAATAATCCAAAATCACAACCAAGAGCCTTGAGATTAAGAAATGAGTAGGTAGTAAAATAATATTTAATAACTCACCTTATAAACTGCTTTAAAGTCTACAAGGAACTTGCACACATTTTCTTATTTAACTCATAAAGCAACCCCAAGAGGTAACTATTACTCTCTCTTTGCAGATGAGGTAATATGACCCGTCCACTGCCAGCAAATGGCGGAGCCAGACTGCAGCTTTCCGGCTGTTTGTGACACTATGGCTTTCCAGTTTTTAAAAAACTGACTTGTATCACGAAAATAACTTTTAGAAGGATAAATCTTTTTTACTTATCCCTAATTTGAGTTAAAATATTTTGTACTTGAAAAAATGTTGGTCCTTACATTCATTATTCCCATCTTCATCTCGTGTTCCTCTCTTTCTCTTTTCTGCCATTACAAGCATTTCACTGCAGCTGCTGATGCTGATAATTATATGCCATAAACCTACAATGCTTCTAAGGCTGAAGGCAGCAAGAATACAATTCCTAAGGCCAGTACTCAGAGATATGAAAAACAGAAAATTCCCTCTTCCCATCAAAAAGGAATATTACTCTCTAAATGATAATTCATAATTCATCTTTATGCTTACCTTTGCCAATGTCACTGACCAAGCTTCTGATATAAAAACCTCCTCCACATTCAACATCTGGAATGTTAACAGTGACATGGTAAATTGCTAACCTCCTATGAAATCCACTTTACACAGAAATGATGCCCCTAAACAAATGTAAAAATGCACTATGCAAACAATCAAGTGATAAAATATTTATGCACTAAAGCATAAATTATTCATCCAGTAGCATATGTGTTTGTGAGATTGAAAAGTCAGAGTGTGGAGAAAGCAAACAGCAGAAACTCAGGAACACATTTTACATTAACTGGCAAGTCCTACCACTTTAATACTTCAGCCTTGTTCACATAATAGGTTTTAAATAGTTAGAAATCTCAGGTTTGCTATCATGAGCTGTAGATTTTTAAAAATATTCTCAGATTTGTTTGCCTTGTTCATTTAATAGGTTTTAAATGGTTAGACATCTCAGCTTTGCTATCATGGGCTATAGATTTTAAAAATATTTTCAGATTTGTACATTCAAAAAGTCTAACAAACAAACAAAAAAAACCCTTTTCAGGGACAGGAATTATATTTAGAGTGATATACTACATGGAGAGCTCAGCATATTTAAATGTTCTCTTAGAAATATTCCTGAAGAAATTATAAAATAACTAAAACTACACAACGTCCCAGAACTGAATGCTTATCTAAACATCTTCTATCACAGTAAAATACAAGTTTATTGGTTAACAGCAAGGCTCTGGATCATTTTTATTCATCCACAGACATCCTGAAAAGCACTACATTTCCACACAAAAGGACTACATTCCAGCTATTTCTAGTCTTATCATACAATAAAGCCATTTGAGGGAATTAATCAAAACTACCTGGGGATTTAATTCTTTTTTTTCCTTCAGCTCCAGGTTGGAGGTCACTGCTGAGATAAAAAACGAGCACTAGGACCAAATGCAGGTGTGCTAACATTCTTGCACTATATTTGACTTTGGTGAAAAAACAACTCTTGGCCTATTACAATCTCCAGTGAACAAAATACGCAATCAGAAAAATTTGAGTTTTTCTTACTTTCACAGATAATATCTACTGTGCCAACCCAGCTGCTGCCTTTTCATGGAGTGGAGCAAAATATTTTTTAGTGTGTTTTTCTCATTATTTGTCAAACATTTTAGAATGAGGAAACTAAAGAAAAGGAGTGACTTCTTTTTTCAGTTGTATAAAACCCACATTCTACAGGAACTTAATACACATTAAATAATATGCCAAAGCAATACAGTTCAGGAAAAAAGGTTTTGGGAAATTATTTCTAAAAGGAATCCTATTTGGTATACACTGTGAATTCAGCAGCAGGGTCAATTTAAGGGAGCCCAAGAGGTTAGAACTACAGCTTCTGATTCCTCACAGCTCTCACATGCCCGAGGCTTCAGCCACTGCTGTCTGCAATTAGGTGATCAAAAAATGTACAAACAATAGAAACAAACTTTTTGTTTTTTAAATTTATTTCAAACCTGGATTATAGATAAATTTGAATTGATAACCTGAATTAAAATTTACCCCATGTCCAATAATACATTTCTACCTTATCCATTATTTCCACGTTTTCATGATCTTCAGCAGTAACTTGTAGACAACAAAGAAGGGAGGGGAGGAATCACTCCACTCTTGGAATTTCTTGTCCAAAAACTAAAAATGCTTTGTTTTAAATAGACAAATTAAAGTGAATTTTAAAACTAAATGTAAACTACTAGGTACTAGCCAAAATGGGGAGCAAATATCCATGGATAATCAAATAGAAAATACAAAATTCTGAAAACACATATTCCTTACCTACTCTTCTCCGTGGAGATCTAAAGTATGTTATTCTAACTTTATAGTAAGATAATATAATACAATATATGAAAAATTTAGCCCATTTAGAAAGGCATTTCTGAGCCTCCATGTAGCTATAGGTATTCTCATTAAATGCTATCAAAAAGTTATTAAATCCTAACCCTCTTTAAATTTAAATTTTTAAAAATCTCCAATATCCTAGGGATCCATTAAAATTACACAAAAGTAGCTAAATACAAAATAAAGGTACACGCAAATACAAATGACCTCAAACCTCTGCACCTTACCCAATGTGAAAAACGGCGGCTGGAACTTTCGCAGGGAGAGACTGTACACCGTCACCGGCCGGGCAGGTTTTGCTTCCACTGCTGCCCCTCTCTTCATCAAAGTCGACAGTCTCTGGCCATCCTTCTTTAACGCAGAATAGCTTGCAAGATAAGACAGGGAGAGGAGGAGAGAAAGAGGGAGGAAGAATTAAGACAGATTGAGAGAGAATGAGAGAGAATAATTCCAGATTATAGCATGGAAAGAAAGGATGACAAGGGGCCCTTTAAATTGAAAATCCTTCTAATCTACTCTACAATGGTGTGAGGGAGAGAGTTCCTAAACATCTTTGAGGCTAATATAGCTCAATCTGGCATCCAATGAGCAATGTCATCAATGTTATTCTTTAACCATTTTCCTAGAGATGGTCTACTCATGTCTTCACCAGTCCTTGTTCCGGGTTAAGGGCACAAGGCCTCTGGTCGCAATGATCTCAGCTGTATTTCCTTGAAACAATTTCCATTACAATAATATTTATTTTTCATATAAAAGTTACCAAAATGTTTCTAGTAAACAAATAATCTATTTAACAGATCTTAGCTTTGTGTGATAAAATTTTATTAGATCACAAAATCCTTGGAACAATGACAGAGAAGAAAATTCTAAAATGGTTCTTATAAATAAATGTAAATATGTTTTCTATTTTTTATGAATATCAAAAAATTTATCTCAACAATAATGATCCAAAATAATGTTTACTTATATCCTGCTAAAACTTTTAAATCTTTACATCTGAGGCAAAATTATGAAGAAAGATTTCCCTGTGGATATTTCAGTGTTCTTGAAAAAAACTGAGATTTTTAAACACAAAATAAATACCAAATTCTAAAAGAATTGTCAGTAACTTATCCTGATACACCTCATGGCCATTCAGCCATTTAAAAAAAAAAGAATCGAGGAGGCCAGCCCATGGCGGAGCCATTAAAGTTCCACGTGCTCTGCTTCAGCGGCCGGGGTTCCCAGGTTCGGATCCCGTGTGCGGACCTACTCCACTCATCAGCCACACTGTGAAGGCATCCCACATACAAAGTAGAGGATGACTGACACCGATGTTAGCTCAGGGCTAATCTTCCTCTCACACACACACTCAAAATAATAATAAATAAACTCTCTTTAAAAAAAAAAAGTGGGGGCTGGCCCCGTGGCCGAGTGGTTAAGTTCGCGTGCTCCGCTGCAGGCGGCCCAGTGTTTCGTTAGTTCGAATCCTGGGCGCGGACATGGCACTGCTCATCAGACCACGCTGAGGCAGCGTCCCACATGCCACAACTAGAAGAACCCACAACGAAGAATACACAACTATGTACCGGGGGGCTTTGGGGAGAAAAAGGAAAAAATAAAATCTTAAAAAAAAAAAAAAAAAAAAGTGATTGGCTTAAAATGGTAATGTGCACAAAAAATATGATTAAGTGGTAAGTCACTATCGTTATACTTTTAATAAGTTATAACTTTCATCTTGTCATTTGTTGCAGAAAACTGTAAAGCATAAGATTCTGGGCCCCAAAGGAATGGTCCCAACACCTGAAAGGAAGTACTAGTTGGACTCTGAGTCACAGCTCTGACACCCATACCAGACTGCGGGGGTCCCTTCACACCAATTCTGGTAAAAGTGACATCTCTGCACTCCAGAACTGCCCTGATGTCTGTAGATGGAATCAGAAAAACTGATAAACACTGGGATAGCATAGACGTCAGGCTGCGGCAAAATCCAGGGACAGAGACCACATCCTGCCAGCTCTTAGAGGGTATCAGAGCTCTTCATTCTGTCTACATCAGGCTCACCTTTACCAGATCATCTGCTGTATCAGATTTAAAATGTGCCTTACCATATATAAAAGCAAGCCCTTTTTTTTCATTAAAGTGATGTTACTCATTGAAAAATGAATTAAACATTTATTCAAATTCAATAATTGAACTTACAGGGGAGGTACTTGCATTATATTCCCAGTAAATTTCTGTAGAATGCCTTCAATATCTTCTTGTGTTATTTTATCTGCCAAAAATGAAAAAAGCAAAACTAAAACAACCACAAAAGTACAAGTGCTATTTTCACAGCACCAAAAGCTCTGAAAATTCATTTAAAAATTTTTCCAAGAAAGCATATACTATAGTGTGTTTTGTAGGCCAACTCTACCTTGTTGAGATGAATAAAACATACATTAATGAGATAAAAGTGGGAAAAAGTCTTATATTGCCTAATATTAAGACTAAATCTCGTTTGCTTCCATTTTTCCTCTAATAAAAACGATCCAATCATCTCGTATGCATTTAATTGGCGCTTACTATGGCCTTTAGAAGACCTGAGAAAAAGGTTGCATCAGCTATAAGAAATAGTCCTGCAGGGGTCAAAAATGAGGTGATCAGAAAGTAAGTAGAAAAATACCTATAAGTTCTTTTCTAAGTTTCTCCCGGCATTAAATATTGTAAATAACTTGATATGGTTGAAGATTATCAAGTATTAACCACATTTCAAATTTTACCTGATAGATTTCAAAACTGCTCTGTAGTATGGTATAAATTTTCCATACTCACATGCAACTTCGCCCCCAAGTAAAGTCGTATTGCTCTGTCTCCCTCCCTGCCTCACTGCTCTGGAATTTCTCTGTTCTTTTAAGTGAACATCCTCAGTCAGGAGTCTGACTTTTGCCTCAAAAATAAGCCAGTGCAAAAAGAGCATACACATAGCAAAGGTAAATACAGCTTTCAATACCTGTCACTTAGCCATGTTTTCAGCTTTTGTTTGATATTCTTTCAAACAAAGTGACGTGATATTAAAGTACAGTTATAAATTTAACAACTGTAAACCGCAACACACTGAAATGCAGTATTTGGGATTTTCATACTTACAGATGACTCTTTATACATATTGCATATTCAATAATAAACTAAATTACACAAATATTCTATAACTTATTTGGGTCACAGTCAGTGGAAAGAAATTACAGTGCTCTTTCACTTCGTAGGAAATTTAAACTTTTTATTCTGGTATATACATGTTACATTTGGTTTTATTTGAATAATATTAAACAAAAACTAATTAATATGCTTTGAATTACTACTCTAACACCACAAAAAAGACTAAACGACAGCATGGAATACTGTATCCAGATTTCCCTATCAACACAGAAGACAGTCTTAACCTCAGTGTGACCTTGATCCTCACAAGCTAACCACAAAGACCAGAATCTACTAGACTCAGAGAAGAGCTACAGAACTCAGAAGAATTACTTCAACACCTAGCAGCTCCAAAAAGGCAGATCTCAGATGGCTCCTCTGTTCATACAGTTTTTCAAACAGATGTAGCTCATGATACGCATGAGGATTTTTCCATGAAAAGTTTTTCCTCTACTGCGACATTAAACATAATTACTGGTGGTACTTTATTTATGCAAAACTTCCACATCTAGACAGCCGATGCTACCACCACCCTGGTGATCGCTGAGAGAAATGCCATTGTTGATAAAATTGCAATAGCTCATAACTTAGCAACACGTTTTTCAAATAAGACCAAACAGCTTTCGACTTCTGCTGGCTGGTCTCTTACTGACATTCCTGCCTGTGTGTACTCCTTTGTCCTGCTTCTCTTTTACTGATATTCCCTTACAAAGACAGAGATGTGCTCTTTCTTATTCTACTTCTGCCACTCTCTCTCTTTTTGACTTAAAGTCTCAGGCATTTGTGGTTGTGCTGTTCATTCTGCAATTAATCACACACAATTTTGAACTGTTACTTACTATATATACGCAGGCATTATCTCACCAATGAAATTCTAAGCTCCTTAACAGCAAAGATAGCTTTTCTTCTTATTTAATGCACACAATTACGACGGCACTCAAGACATTCTTGCTGAATTTAATTTGCTGAGGAATAACAGAATCTCAAAGTCAAAAGGGCATTTAAAAGTCGTCTAGGCCAGGGCAGGCCCTGTGGCACAGTGGTCAAGTTCAGTGTGCTCTGCTTCAGCAGCCTGGGTTCATGGGTTCAGATCCTAGGCATGGACCTACCTCTCTTCAGCCATGCTGTGGCAGTGACCCATATATAAAGTGGAGGAAGATTGGCACAGATGTTAGCTCAGGGCTAATCTTCCTCAAGAAAAAAAAAAGAGAGAGGCAGATTGGCAACAGATGTTAGCTCAGGGCTAATCTTTCTCAGCAAAAAGAAAAAAGTCACCTAGGCCAATCATTCATCTAATGTTTGAATCACCAGACAGAAAGCCTATGCAGCAAGTTATTTTACAATAAAAATGAATATAGTATTTATTATATTCACCACATGAGTATGTAGTGAAGGATGCTGGCTACATCTAAAACATGATATTAGTCCAATCCAAATAATAATAATTGTCCCTATGATACAAAAATAAAGACTCTATCTCCAAAGGATTTAAAAAGAAATGGAGAATAAAATCTCTAAAGCAAGTATATCCAATAACTAGCCAAAAGAAGTACATTTGGTAAAAGATGGGTATGATACAAGTGCCGTAGGACTTGGGTAATTATTCTTTGTTTAGTAAATTAACAAATCATCAATGTGACAGTATTCATTTGAAATTAATTTTTTAAAGTCATTCTCATAAAATTAGTATATACAAGATCACGTTACAAATCATTTGCTAAAAATTTACTGGCTCTTCCAGTGAACTTATCACATGATAGTTGGTACTTAACAGAACTATGGAGTTAAAAAAGATCATGGACTTAAAAACAATATTCGACCACGACAGAGTAACTATTACTGGAAAAGCCCTTCCACCATATATTTAATTGGAAAAAATTAATAAACTTCGTTTTTGAAAGGACTGTAATCCCTGAGAGAAGGGCAAGAAACAGGGCAAGGCCCTCAATCACTTTGCTTTGGCTGGGGGGTGATTTCTGCACTGTGGTGCAGGGAGGGGAATCCCAAATTAGGCACCGTGATCTCACTGAACAGATTAGAACTGGGGGAAGTGGCAGCAGCCAGAATTTGAGAGAGAAAGATGTCTATAGGGGTCCACTTGAGACGTGGCTAAATTCCAAGCTGCTCATACATACAGTGCATCTACACCAAATTAACCAAAGAACTACCAAAGCTCCTACAAGGCTGGAAGATGTCTGAATTCTAGCCATCCAGAAGGCAGAAACTTTTCTGAATACCCGGGCATTTGATAGGACCACAGAAAAGCCATGCTCTAGGAGTAGGGCTAATACAGACCTGGAAGAAAGTCTACGCTAGACTCATCCTAACGAGAAATCTATACGAAAGCAACTAGAATTAATAAGTGAGCTTAGCAAGCTTGAAAGACATACAACCAATAAAAAAAATAAACTTCATTTCTATATACTAGTAATCAACTATCAAATGAAAATTTTAAAAATCCAATTTATAATAGCATCAAAAAATATGACGTACCTAGGGATTTCGATACAAAAGAAGTGAAAGATCTGTACACTGAAAACTACAGAAATATGGTTCAATTTTTGCAACTTTTCTCTAAGTTTGGTATTATTTCAAAGTAAAAAGAAAGGTCTTAAAGGAATATTATGAACAACTTTACACCAATAAGTTTGGAATTTTAGATAAAATGGACAAATGCCTAGGAGAAAATTATCTAGAATGACACAAGAAATAAAAAATATTAAGGTTGATAGGTAGCAAAGAAATCCAATCCATGATTAAAGAGCTTCCTAACAAAGAAAACTCCAGAACTAGATGTCTACCAGTAAATGCTACCAAACATTAGAAAAAGAAATAATGCCAATGACACAAATTCAGAGAATAGAAAAAAAGGAGAATACTCCCCAACCCATTTTATGAGGTCAGTATAGCCTTGATATCAAAACCAATCAAGAACACTAAGAGAAAGGAAAAATACAGGGTATTCTCACTCATAGACAATGATGCAAAAATCCTAAACTAAATATTTGCAAACTAAACCCAACAATTTATGCAAAGGATAACACATCACAATGAAGTTGGGCTTTTCCCGAAACGTAAATTTAGTTTAATATTTGAACGAGGAGCAAAATCAATAGACACAGAAAAAAATATTTTGATAAAATTCAATGTCTGCTCATGATTTAAAAAAAAACAAAACAAAACAGCAGGGGCCAGCCCGGTTGCATAGAGGTTAAGTTCACGCGCTCCACTTTGGCGGCCCGGGTGTCGCTGGTCTGAATCCCAGGCATGGATCTATGTGCCGCTTATCAAGCCATGCTGTGGCAGGTGTCCCACATTTAAGTAGAGGAAGATGGGCACAGATTTTAGCCCAGGGCTAATCTTTCTCCAAAAAGGAAACAACAAAAAACCCAGCAAATTAGGAATAGAAGAAAACTTCCTTACTTTGATAAGAAAGCTATAAAAAACCTATAGAAAAAATCTATAAGGTAGATTTACTTGCTTGTAGATAAGGTAGAAATGCTTGCTCTTTCAGCTATCAAGACTTATTCTAAAACTATGATAATTAACACAGTTTGGTGTTAGCACAAGGACAGACAAACAGACCAACGAAACAAAATGGATTCCAAACAAACTCGTGCCTATATGGCGCCTGATCTGCAACCACGGAGGCAATACAGTGGGGAAATGTGCTGGGCCAACCAGATATACATGGAGAAATGAAACAATGGAGTGCAGATATAATGTGAACGGCAAAGAAATAAAGCTTCCAGAATACAAGAAAATATCGTCATGCTTTTGGAGTAGGAAAAGTTTTCTTAAATAGGATACCAAAATAACTAACCATAAAGGAAAAGACTTGATAAACTAAATAAAAACTCAGAACTTCTGTTTTCCAAAAGACACAATTAAGAGACAGAGAGGGAGAAAATATCTGTAACATCTATACTCAAAAGAAGAGCACACATCCAGAGTACATAAAGAACTCACACAAAATCAATTAAAAAAGAAAAAGTGAGGGGCTGGCCCAGTGGCGCAGTAGTTGTTTGTGCGCTCCGCTTCAGCGGCCCAGGGTTCGCAGGTTCGGATCCCAGGCGTGGGCTTAGTACCGCTCATCAA